ATGAGCCAAGGCAGCTTTGTTGCGCAAAGGCTTGAAAAGTTGGGCACTCAGCTTCTAAAATTGAAGCAAGAAAACAGGGAGAAACAGATGAATGCAGTGATGCATCAGATTTTTCGCGGAGAACAGATAGTTGATTATCTGAGTTCCGTAGATTTAAATGATCTGGGTTGGGTTTTAAATACGAATATCGCTGAAAGTGAAATGAGGTTTGAAAGAGATTCCCCAACTCTGGCTCCTTTTCTCCCTGCTGCTCCTTCTCTTGCAACAGCGTCACCTCCTGTTCTTGGGTCTGGGACTAGCCATGTGGTTGCTCCAGCAGATGTGTTTTCCGGGCAAAGCTATCAAGGCACGGTGGGTATACAAACTCCTGGAACTGCGTGGAGTTATCAGAATTGGGCTTTTATGAATGACAGTAATCAGAATGACCCAACTCAGGGGAGACCAGGTCCTAGCACCCAGTAATCAAATCCTTAAAGATTTTCCGAACTTCTTTAATGCTGTCTCATGTTTTTTAATTTTATGTTGTTTTGTATTTTCCAGTTAAATTGATAATAAATATATCAAATCAAATTTGATATCCCTTTGCATTAACACAAATTATAATAGAAAGATAATTAATGACATATTGATTGTTCCAAGTATTAAATTAGACACAATTAATTGCAATGTAAATTTCCCATTTTCTTGATGAGAATTCCCGTTCTTCATTACAACGGGAATGGGGATGGGGAAAAATTCCGGGAACGAGGCGGGGGGATAGAAATACCCCACCCTACCCCAATTCTTATAACAACAACAGCGACAATATAATAATTATTGTTGTTGTTGTTGTTATTATTATTATTATTATTATTATTATTATTATTATTATTATTATTATTATTATTATTATTATTATTATTATTATTATTATTATTATATCGTTGTAGAGTGCTTGTATTGTATTTATAGAGGGACGGATCCAAAAAATTATCTAAGTTGGGACAAATTTAAATGAGATTAGAAATGTTAATGACAAAATATCAAACAATCATAATAGGGTTAAAATACAAAATAATAAAAATTACAATAAAATGTTTTTGACACAAATATATAAAATCAAAGTTTGTATCCCTTTGCATTGACACAAATTATAATAGAAAGATTATTAATGACATATCTATTGTTCCAAGAATTAAATTAGACAATTAATTGCACATGCAGAATCCTTCTCAAAATACAAAAATATAAAAAATAAATGTTCATATCCCTTTGCGTTGAGCCCTTTGCATGGTAAAAAAATGATATGATTCAACCTCAGACCCATTTAAATGTAGCGGATAACAGAGGAGTTCGAGAATTGATGTGTATTCAAATCATTGGAGCTAGAAATCGTCGATATGCACATATTGGTGATATCTTTGTTGTTGTTATAGAAGAGGCATTACTTAATATGCCTCTAGAAAGATCCGAAGTAGTCAGAGCAGTATTGTGTGTATCTGTGAAGAACTCAAACGTGACATGCGAATGATAATACGATATGATGACAATGCTGCATTTTTATTGATAAAGAAGGAAATCCAAAAGGAACTATAATTTTTGGTGCAATCGCTAAAGAGTTGAGACAATTCAATTTCACAAAAATAGTTTCATTAGCTCCCAAAGTATTATAAAATGAAATTGTGATATATTTCTAGTGCAGTATTTGAAAGAAAGGTATTAGAAAAGTAAATCGTAATACGTTTTTAGTGGAGTATTTGAAAGAAATATATTTAAAATTGAGTAGAATGTGTCTCACCCATATATCTTTCTTGAAAAACAGAATTCATTGACAAAAAAAAAAAAAAAAAAAAAAAACCTCCTTGATAGCATCCAATTTTTTTGCCACAATAATTATCATTCATCATGGGTAGGGACACTATTACTGAGATAATCACTTCTATACGAAATGCAAATATGGATCGAAATAAAGGGGTTCGAATATATAGCATCCACCAATATTACCCAAAATATTGTTAGAAATCTTTTACGCGAAGGTTTTATTGAAAACGTGAGAAAACATCTAGAGAAAAAAACAAAAATCTTTTTGTTTTAACCCTGCGACATAGAAGGTATAGGAAAAGACCCTATAGAACAAAAAAAAAAAATCAAAAAACAAAATTTTTTGTGTTTTGGAAAAGGGAAAAAAAATGGGGGAGTTATTGAATATCGTTCTACCTCTATTAGTTGATACCTCAAAATCACTTAGAATACCTGGGATGAAAGAACAAAAATGAATTCGTATGGTTATTATTATGAATCGCTTCCAAAAAGTATGTTCCAGGTTTATTTATAGAATGAAGATCTCAATCTATGTTCTACTTCGGAAAATATCCAACGTATAGGTAGTTATATGGATACCGCCAATAAGTCAAATTTGAAGTAAGTCCTTATGATTCAACCAAAGGACATATAATTTATCAGCTACGCAATGCCACCAAGATTTGAAGCATTCATTTTTCAACTTTAACAAACATGTCTTTCATGGAAATAGAATTCGAGACGACAAAATATCAAGAAACGTTTTTGAAAAAAGTAGACTTCAAATTAAGGTAAGGAATGAGAAATATGAAAATAAGAGTTATTGTTCGTAAAATTTGTGAAAAATCTCGACTAATCCGTAGAAGAGGACCAATTATAGTGAAAAATGAACCAAGTTGCTAGCGAGCCACTCGGTCAAAGCTCAACTCAAGTTCGATCAGTTTCGAGCTCGAGCCGGCTTGTTTTGTAATCGAGTCGAGCTCGAGCTCTAATATTTTTGGGTTGAAGGCTCGTGACTCGTTGAGCCTCTCGCAAGCCATTTACATATATACATGCATACATACATATATATATATATATATATATATATATATATATATATATATATATATATATATATATATGAAAATTCCTTGTTCTTCATTCCTCAACCCTTACAATCAAGCATGCAGGAACAAACATAACTTTAATTATGAAAATTCCAGTAGACCATCTTTTTCAACCTTGTTGGATTTATCAGTGAGAGGGTGATAAAGGAAGATGGAAAGAAGAAAGGTGTATTGAATGAAGAAGAATCAAAGAACGTGTTTTACAGGGATGAAAGATGCACCTAATATACAAGCTAGTTAGGAAGATAACAAACTTAACTAACTAACTAACTTTTCTTGCTTTGACTTCTTGCTTGACTTGTTATATGTGTTGACACCCCCACCACCCCCCCCCCCCCGCAAGCTGGCAGGTACATGTTATGTAGTTTCAGCTTGGAAATAAGAGCATGAAAGCTGTTCTGTGTAAGAGGTTTTGTGAAGGTATCTCCAAGCTGGTTGGAGGTGGATACATGTAGAAATTTTATGATACCTTTCTGTACCTTTCCTTACCAAGTGACAGTCAAGTTCAATATGTTTTGTCCTCTCATGGAATACAGGATTCTCAGCTATGGCAATAGCTGATTTGTTGTCACAATATAGCAAAGCTGGAGGATTGTCAATCACCCTTAAGTCTTGCAGAAGATATAAGAGTCATTGGATCTCACATGCTGTAGTAGCTAGAGCTCTATATTCTGCTTCAGAGGAACTTCTGGAGATGGTAACTTGTTTCTTGGACTTCCAAGTGATTAGGAAGGTGCCAAGAAATATGCAAAAACCAGTGACAGATCTCCTGGTGTCTGGACAAGCAGCCCAGTCTGAATCAGTAAAACCTTTAAGCTGCAAGGAAGATTTTGCTGATATGAAAATGCCTTGTCCTGGAGCTGCCTTGATGTATCTTAGAATTCTGTGAGCTGCTTGCATATGTATATTAGTAGGACAGTCTAAAAATTGGGAAAGCTGTTGAGTGGCATAACTGATGTCAGGTCTTGTAATTGTTAGGTACAAGAGTTTTCCCACAAGCCTTCTATATTGAGAAACATCTTCCAGTTTTTCACCAATATCTTTACTGAATCTAACAGATGTAGCCATGGGGGTTTTTGCTGGCTTGCAATTTGTAAAATTTGTTTCCTCTAGGAGCTCTAATGTATACTTCCTTTGTGTCATTGAGATGCCTGAACTGTTTCTTGCAATCTCCAATCCCAGAAAATATCTTAAGAGGCCTAGATCTTTAATATGGAAAACATTGTCTAGATGCCTTTTAATCTGCTGAACTTGGCTTGAATCTGAACTTGCTATCACAATATCATCAACATAGACAATTAAAGCCACAAAATTGTCTTTTTCACCTTTAAGAAATAGAGATGAATCAGATAAAACTTGCCTGAACCCCATATGCAACAACTCTTGAGTTAACTTCATGCTCCACTGTCTGCTTGCTTGTTTCAAACCATAAAGACTTTTCACTAATCTGCACACCTGACCAGGTTTTTGAGGAATGAAACCAGGAAGAAGTGTCATGTAGACCTCCTCAATCAAGTCCCCATGGAGAAAGGCATTATTAACATCTAGTTGATGTAAAGTCCATCCCTTGATGGCAGCTACTGCTAGAAGCATCCTGATGGTTGTTATTTTAGCAACAGGACTGAAGGTGTCCAAATAATCCAGTCCAGGGGTTTGTGTGTATCCTTTTGCAACCAGCCCAGCCTTGTGCCTCTCTATGGTACCATCAGCTTTCAACTTGGTCTTGTATACCCATCTGCAGCCTATGGGCTCTTTATTTGGAGGGAGTTTTGTCAATATCCATGTGTTATTGGCTTCCAAGGCATTGATTTCATCCTTCATGGCCTTCCTCCAACAATCTTCCTTGATAGCTTGGTTGTAGGTTTTAGGTTCTTTGGCCACTAAGGCATTAACTGCAAAGACTTTAAAACCTTGAGATAGGTTATTGTAAGATAGAACATCAGAGATGATATGTGGAGAAGTCCTCTTTGCAGTAGCATTATGACTTGTGTAATCAGCAAGATAGGTTGGAGTGACCCTGATTCCGGTGGACCTCCCTGGTTCAGGAATTGGCTATATACTAAGCTCCCTCTCTTGGGTTGTGGACTCTGATGGGAACTGATCATTGGTGTTTACTTGGTCTTGATGCTGACTTCTAGGAATGATCCCATGTTCTTGCACCTGCTCATCAATATCTGAGTATGACACCCCTTCAGAAGGTAAAATAAGTTCAGTTCCCAAGTCATTTGCATCAATCTGTCCACTTTAGTTGTTTTGATAGGGAAAAGAGATTTCATAAAAGCAGATATCCCTAGACAGAAAAACTTCTTTGGTGTGCAGATCATACAACTTATACCCTTTTACCCCATTGGCAAAGCCTAAGAAAATACATTTTCTGGCTCTTGGAGAGAGTTTGCTCCTTAGACAGCTGGGAATAACAGCAAAGGCTAAACAGCCAAACACTTTAAGGTGTTGATATTGTGGCATCTTGCCAAAGAGGACCTGATAAGGTATATTGTTGTTTACGACAATTTATGGAAGCCTATTGATGATGTAAACTGCATGGAGGATACAATCACCCCAAAAAAATTCAGG